CAGGCATTCTGGCCTTCCCACCTCACATTTCCATGTGCTTTGGGAGTCCTACCCCAGCTGTTCCCATAGATGGCCAAGTCCCCAGCGGGGAGGCTCCCCTGGGGGAAGGTGCTTCGCATGTGCCTGACTCATTGAGGGCACAGAACTGTCCCCGTGGCCACCTCCAGCTCCTACCCACACCAGCTCCATGTGCACTTACCAGTATGTAAGTGGACAGAGCCACTTGAGTATTGCCCGTGGGGCCCACGGCCAGGTCCCTTTGCCCCAGCTGGAGGAGGGCCCTAAATGCTGGGAAAATGCCCCAGGGCTCTTGAAAATGCCCCAGGCAGGGCAGGAGCCAGAGCCCACCCAGCAATTAACTGCCAGGAGCTGCCCCTGCCTGTGGCCCCAGCGCATGCCCTCACCCTGAGCCTCCCCTCAGAAGGCCGATATGGATCTGAGGGAGTGTCATTTTGAGGGACACATTTTCATAACTTTTATCTATGTTTACTGTAGAAAATTTGTAAAATCCAGAAAACTTTAAAGAAATAAAAACCCTTTATGTTGATACGAAGAGATAAGCACTGTTGACATGTTGGTGTATATCTTTCCAGCCCGTTTTTCTCAGCCCAGAGTTTGAATGGGATCACACTGTACTTAGTTGTGGATCCTTTTCCCCGCTAACAGGACCAGATGGATTTTTCAAATATGTAAATGCCAAGCCCAGAATCTAGCCAAGTGGAAGTGGGTCAGTTTCCAGGGCCATGGGCTTCCGCAGCCAGCCTGGCCCCCTCTTGCAGGACCCTCTGCCCTGAGCCTCTTTCCAGCTTTGTGGACGCCTTGACCCCTGCCAGATCCAACCCCCAATACCTGTCCCCCAGGATTCTTTTTGCTCCCCCATCTTCGGCTGCCATGCGTGTGCTTGTATCAATACTTGTGTGTGCATATATCTGCGTGTATCTGTGTGTGTGTGCGTGGGTGTGTCTGTGTGTGTGTGTGTGTGTGTGTGTGTGTTGCACGTAGACGTGTTTGTACAGCCCTGTTCCATGGGGCAGGATGTGGAGTTGAGGTATTTGGGATATGCAAGAGGGTGGAAGTTTATAATTACTTAGGGCAATGGAATTTATAAACATATTCTCTAAATAGTTCCAAGCCTCTCCATCAATAGGCTTAATTACCTCCGCCCCAGCCTGATGTTTTGAAAGCTCTTTGTCTTCCAGGCAGAGGTCGTCGTCACATCATCCCCATTCCCGTCTCCCTGAACTGCAGAGGTTCACGCTGCCTGTGAGGGTGTGTGGGCAGGGTGAGGGCACTAGCACTCAACACCCAAAGGTCTGAGCTGCAGAACGAGGGCAAAGAAGCATAACACTGTGGTCAGCCTGGCCAGCCTTAGCCACTAGGCCTTTTGAAATATTTAAATCGTTCAGACTTCCTGTTGCTGCCTCCTTGGGTGATGGGGAGGAGGCCCAGTCTACCCGGAAGGTGGCAGAAGAGGAGGTGTTCACAGCAGGAAGACAGGTCATTCCAGCATTCAGACTACTGGTGGCTCAAGTCTGAGCCCTTCCCCGTGCTGAGCCTGCCAGGCACCGGCTCCTGGGTGACCAGCCTTTTCTTTACCTACGTGGGTCAAAGGTGGTTATGGTTTCATGACAGTTTCTCCCCACCCCCTCCCAACCCCCATACTTGACAGATGAACGGACAATGAAAATGTGACTACATATACAACAACGTGGATGGACTTTGAGGGCATTGTGCTAAATGAAATAAGTCAGAGAAAGACAAATACTGTATGATTTCACTTATATGTGGGATAAAAAAAATAAACTTATAAAGAGAACAAATTGGTAGTTGCCAGAAGTGGAAGCTGGGAGGGTGGGTGAAATGTGTGAAGGTGGTCAAAAGGCCCAAACTTCTGGCTATAAGTCCTGGGATGTAATAATGTGCACATGGTGACTATAGTTAACAAAAAAAAATACTATGTTTTATGAATCACTGAAGCAGGAGGAGGGATTTCCCTGAGAGTTCAGTCAGTTTAACCAGAAGTACCACTGATTTTTCTGTTATGTTTTAAATTTTTATTATAACAGGTCATAACTGGAGGGCTGTTTGGCCAGTTTCTCTGGTAATAATGTCAGCTTGTGTGAAGGGGTGTGAGGCTGTGGGTGCACTGGGCTGAGGAGGGTGAATGAATGGGACATAGGAGGAGGGAGTCTGGGTGTGGAGGAAAGTGAGTCTGGAGAAGGAATCGTAGCCCTGGGTGGTGTGGCTCAGTTGGTTGCAGTGTCATGCTGTACACCAAAAGGTGGCAGGTTCAATTCCAAGTCAAGGTGAATGCCCAGACTGCAGGTTCAATCCCTGGTCAGGGCATATGCAAGAGGCAACCAATAGATGGGAGGCAACCAATAGATGTTACTTTCTCTCTCTATCTATCTATCTATCTATCTATCTATCTATCTATCTATCTATCTCTATCTCTATCTCTCGCTCTCACTCTTCCTGCCTGCCCTCCCGCCTTCCTCTCTTAAAGGAAAAAAAAAAGAGCCCTGATTCTCCTCTTGGCTCTGTCACTCACTAGCCGCATGAACTAGGTCCTATGTTCACCATGTGGATCTCAGCCTCCTTACCTGTAAAATGGAGACAGTTAAACCAGAAGGTGGGTGGGGCTTTCCAGCTTGGACATTCCCTGGCTCACCCTTTAGCCCCTGATGTCACAGTATGGAGCCAGATCATGACTGACTTATAGCTCCACCCAGCTTTGCTGTTCTCTTGGTCATGGACACAGATGGACTTGCCCTGGACCTTCCCTACTTGCCATGGAGTGAGGGTGAACAGAGCTCAGGTGGTGCACGGGATCGGACAAGGAGACCAGGCAGGGGCAGGCCGCTCCCAGGACAGTTCAATGCCCATTTTCTTCTCTGCAGACAAGCTCTACAATGAGACCGTGGCAAAGTCATTCCTCAATTGTATGAGCATACAGCCCAGACTGTGTGGAACCAGTTCATGGAGGCCACCTGCAACTATGTCACCAGCATCACCAAGAAAAATCAAGAAGAGATGGGATAGCACTTGCATCCCAGCCCCTTCTCCCCTTGCTCTTCTCAGGGGCCTCAGGAGGTGTGTGTGTGCGTGTGTGTGTGTGTGTGTGTGTGTGTGTGTGTGTGTAGGGGGATCCACACCTTCTGCCCCCTGTCCAGAGCTACAGGAAAGAGAGAAGTCCCAAGTCTCCATGCCCTTGGTGACACTACACACTCTCTGGGCAAGAATCTCTCACTGCTTTCCTCTTGTAACTATTTCCTACTTGCTTTTAGGGACCCAGGCTTTCTCTCTTCTCCCTCTTACCAAATCTTCAATGATTCTGAACCCTTAAAGCGGGCCCTGGGAGGAGGTTGGGGGGCTGTGGCCCTGGAATTCAAAGTGGGACCCTTACTCCCTCCCCTCACTTCCCATGACAAATACGGTGACCCTCCTCCCAGCTGCACAAGGAGGAGAGATCCCAGCACATGCTGTACTTTGGCACCCGGGCCTGTCTGTTTAAGAGCGCCAGGGCCCAGGACCCAACCGTGAAGCGCATGCTGAGTAAGCTGCAGAACATAGGCAAGGCAGCCCTGCCAGACAAGCTCCAGGAGGTGATGACCGGAATCCCCAGGCCTCCAGGCACCTGCTCCCCCCACCCAGGGGTTCATGGCTGGCTGGTGGGGAACCAGGGCAGAAGCGAGGTTGGCAGGGCAGGGTCAAAGCATCCTCTGGGGAGGAAGGAAGCAGAGGCTGGTGGGAAGATGCCTCAACCATCTAGGGGGGCTAGCCCATGGCTCAAGTTTCTGGTCACAGCATGGTTTGGGGCGACTATGAGGGGCCTGCTAGCTCTGCACAGGCCTTTATGTTTATTTGAACCTTTACAACCCATAGTCATTCATAGAGGAAGAACATGCGCCTCACGGTCACACAGCAGCCCTGGGGTGGCAGAGCTGGGCACTCAATCCTTTGTCCTTTCACTCTCCCACCCCTGCGCCAAATTCAGGACCAGGTCTCACCAGTGGGATTGGCAGAATCTTGACCTTGTACCTTTCCTAAGGGCACATCTCACCAGCTATTGGAAGCACCTGGAGGAGCCCTTTTCCTTCTTCTGTGGACACACCCACCACTGCCTGAATGACGGAGACTAGGGGCTGAGGGAGGGGGGTGGCGAGTCTCCAGGCCTTGAACAAAACCCTGTCACCGGGGAGAGGAGCCTCCCAACTCTCTGTCAAGCTCAGAGGGTGATCCAGAGGTGCTAGTGAGCCAACAATAAAACAATGAGCCTGTTCGTAGACTTTGTCTCCTCCCAAGGACTGGTCATTTTATCCACATTTTACAGACGGCCCCCCCCTCCGCCCCCCACGCCGTTTTACAACAAGATTC